GTGCTTCCGGCGAGCGGGGGAAGCCGGAGCGTGGAGGCAGGGCTGAGCCCCGCAGTCCCCGGCAGCGACGCACGCGTGGCCTGGTGCTGCGGGATCGGTGCCCCGGCAGTCCTGAGCTTCCTGGAGGCATTGGAGTAACATGCTAAATCAAACGTCCCTCCTGGCCGTGGGAGGAGGTGATTCCTGGGATTGTCCTCAAGCTGAAATTCCCTCCAGGAATGCTCCTTCTGGACTGTAAAAGGAATGAAGCAGCAGCAAATCATAAACCTTTCCAGTGTAAAAGTCAGAAAAGAGAGGGAGCCGGAGATTTTTAATCCTGTGGTCGATGCCTTTTGGCCAGTGCTGGGACTCAACGCAGAGACAACCTGCAAGTCTGTGCCCAAGCTGCAGCCTGTTTCCTGAGCAGGTAATTCTGCAGTTGTGTGCCAGGTCTTTTCCTTGCTCCGAGCAGTTGTGTGTCTCTTGTCCAGTGCTTCGAAATTCACCCTGGGCAGAATATCGGGCATTTGCAAAGAAGGGAGTGAGGGACAGAGGGAAGCAGGTTAAAGCCTTGCAGCAGCAGGAGACCATGGCAGTGCCTCTGCCATGAGCCCCAAGGACCTGCCTCAAGTCAGGAAAACAGCCCGAGCCACAGAGCCAGCCTGGAGAAGCGAAGCAACTCGCTCCAGAAAAATGGGTGGCACAACAGCAGCGCTCCAGTGGAGATGCCTTCCCGCTGTGGCAGCCCGTCCCGCGCTGTCCTGGCACATGTGTGTTCTGGGCAGAAGTGCCACCGTCGTTCTGCAGAGACCAGGAGGAGCTCAGCCTGGCTCAGCTCCCGGTCTGTACGCGGTGGGCAGGTGAAAAACCAGCACACAAACAAACCAGCGTCTCCTTTACCCGCCCTGGCATCCCAGTGAGGTGGCCGGTGCAGAAGGGGATCTGCCCACCATGCTGCCATCCGCCTTGGAGCAGAGCTGAGGGTTTTAGGACCAGATCTGGTTGGAAATTTTATTTCCCCAACGCTTGGTGTTGTCGTTGCTGGTTTCTAGCTGACTTCAGCTGCAGTGCATTTATAACGTAAAAAAAAGTCGAGCCCAAAGTAGCTGTTTTGTTTCAAATACTGTGGGAGGAGAGGTGTGGTGCTCTCTTCTCCTCCCTCCAGCCTCAGCACTTGAATTCCTCTTTCCTCCCTGAATTGCTCCCCTTACTCTTTACTTTGGGTATTTTCTGTTGGAATTGAGGGAGCAGCCAGGAGTCCCAGGCCTGGACGAGGGGCCCCTGTGCAAGCTGACACACAAAGGCATCATGTATGTCTCAGGCGGCTGCCGTAATTGCGCCGAGAAATGCTGGTCGTGGTGGTAGTTTTATTTTTTGGGGGACATTTCTTGTACTCAGAGTCCAATTGTTTAAGTTCAACTGAGCCCCATCTCGGCATTGAGAAACAGAGAATTGCTGCGAGGTTGGCAGAAGCAGGTTTGCGTTGAAGATGAGCGTTGAGGGGGCAGTTGGACCAGCTCCCGGGGGGCAAAACAAGGCTCTTGGTCTGGA